CCGGACCCTTCATTCTCAGAACACAGGAGATCCGTCTGGCTCCCTTCGGCCTCCTCCTCGGGCCACCAGGAAAGCCACTCTTAAAGGCAGCTGGTTTGGGATGAGGTTCATTACTTATTTTGAATGGCTCCAAATCAAGTCTGAAATGTGTTCTGGGCTGGAAAGGTGGTGGGATCTTCGAAGAACAGGGAAGAGCCCAGAGAGGGTCTGAGTGGGGAGCCTCAGCATTTCTGCTGCTTAACCTTTCTGTGCTACCGTTATGTGGTGACCACAGTGTTGTTTAGTAATAATACTATCCCTGTCAGCATCGCCCTCATTATGAGGGTGCCTGTGTTTAGGGTTCAGGGACATTCTTGGAGAGATTGTATGACGTCATGGCTGAGAACATAAATGGTGGAACTGATGGCTGTGTTTGCATCCCACCATATTACTAACTGGCTATATGACCTTTGTGAAGTATTTGACCTCCCTGAGGCTCAGTCTTTTCCTTGACAGAGAATGGGCTTACAGGTGACATATGTGCCTCCATTGTGACAAAGAGACTCCAGGCCGGGCTTTGTGCTGGGACCCCCAGGGGCAAGAGGGTGCTGAGCTGACAAGCTGTGAGCCTGGAACAGGGCCTTCCCAGGCTGTAGCAAGCTCAGGGGAAGTAGATAAGGAAGGTAGCAAGAGGCAGAGTCATGCTGATACGGTCTGAGCTCCTGGATCTAACTGTGCCTGAAGCAAGCCACCTTTGGACTTCCCACTTTCACCAGCCAGTGAATTCCCCACTTTGCAAAAGTCACTTTCAGTTGGGTTTTTTTTCTCACAGGCAAGCATCTAGGCTAATACCAGAAGGTTAAGCAACATCCCCAGCCCCACAGGCCCATGAGCAGCAGGCCCGGGATTTAGAAGCTCTGACCTACTGTGTCATGTTGCTCCCTCCTCTTCCCCTTCTTGGAGTGCTCTGTTCTCATCTGTGAAATGGGGTAGCAGCAGGTTCACAGGGTGGTTAGGAAACAGGCGCTGATGGGAACTTGGGTAGCTGACGCCCTCCGAGGTTGTAGCCTAAAGCTCCGAGCATCCAGATTCTAGTGCTTTGGGTCTCCCTCTGCTGCTGTTTGCCCCACTCGGGTTGTCTCTGGCTGCTCCAGACCAGCCCAGGTGCCCAGACTGCGGGGACAGTGTGTGACTCTCAGAGGGAGGGCCCACCTCCCTTCCTGGTTGCACGCCCCAATGGCCAATGTGGGACACAGGATGACCCTCAGCACCCCTGAGCTCTAAATCTATGAGCTGCAATGGAGCCCTGTCACCTCGGCTTGCAGAACCTTCCCGGGACCAGTGGGTGCTGACCTCAAGAAGCTCAGTGTGGAGCCAAATCAGCTCGACTTCAAGTTTATAGTTAGTGGCAATGACAGGTGACAAACACATAAAACAGATCTATAACACAGTATTGCATAGTATTACTAGGGAGAAAATGTCATTAAATGCCTGACAGGTGCTAGGAAGGACAAGGGACAGAGTGATGGGCACTGCTTGTTCAGAGAGTTGAGGCGGGTGCTTTCTCAGGAAGTGACATTCATCTGAGCACCAGCATGGGTTCACCCAGGTCCCAAGATCTTCACCAGGTCACTTGCTCACGGGGCTCAGTCAGGAGTCAGCCTCTCCCGGAGAGCTGGGCTGCAGAGTTGGTCAGCAGCCGTCCCACGCTGACAAAAAGTTTAATGGGTCATTGACTTACTGCCCAAATTGCCCCCATTATTAGCTCCATCTGGGAAGGAAAGGCCGGAGGAGCCTCGTAACCGGTTCCCCAGACATGTCTGCCGGGAAAAGGCCTGGGCAGTCATGACACATGATCACTTGTTTATTCTCTTACTAATCATCACTCAAAGATTCCCCGTCACCACCATCAGCACTGGTGGCCCTAGGGTGTGGCTGGTTCTGGCAGGCTGGGAGCCAGGAGAGCTCCACAGGGAAAGCCAAGCCTCAGTCACAGAGGACTGCAGCCCCTCGAATCCCTCCTCCCAGTCAAATGTCAGGTGCTTGGGACGCAGAGAGGAAGTTCAGGTCTCTGCCCTAAAGGAACAAGGGTGGGGAGAGGGAGAGAGGAAATAAGCCAGCGAGGTAATACACCCTGCCTGCATGCTATGATGTAAACAAAGTATGTGGAAGAGAATGCCTGGGGGCTGTTTTGGAGAGGTATTCAGACCTACAGAGGTGCCGCCCGACTGAGGCCTGAGGCGGAAGGGTGAGGTCTTTAAGAAGAGTGACCCAGGCAAGACCAGTCGGTGCAAAGGTCCTGAGGTACAAACCAGCTGGGTGTGCTGGGGAAGGACACAGAAAGAGCACTGCAGGGAAAGAGAGGCAGGGGCCTGGTCAGGTGGGCCTGGGAGCCAGGGTTAGGAAGGCAGTTTTATTTTAAGTAGGATGGGAAACTTGGTGAGTTTTACATGCGAATGCTTCTTAGTCTAAATATTCAGAGCTCTTGATGCTGCTCTGGCAAGACCAGATGTAAAAACAAATAAGCTGGTCCCTGAAATTAGGAGTTTCCCATAAGACTGATATGTGTGATAAGGTTTCACTTTCTATCATGGTAGTGGATTGCGCAGAAGCCCCCCAAAAGACATGTCCAAGCTCTAATACCTAAGTGCCTAGAAATATGATCTTACTTGGGAAAAGGGCTTTGCACCAGTAGTTGATTTAAAGATCTTAGCATTAAGATCATCCGGGTTACCTAGAATTGCCACATCAGTGTAGATGAGGCTGGGCCCTCAATCCGATTATGGGTGTTTTTATAAAAGAGAGAGGAGGAGACATGGAGAAAGAAAAACTTGGGAAACAAGACAGAAGTAGCAGTGGAGAGGCCACAAGCCAAGGAAGCCTGGAGCCACCAGATCTGGAACAGGCAGGCAAGGGCTGTGCCCGGGAGCCTCCAGGGGAACATGGTGTTGTCCACCCCTTACCCAGGCCTCCAGAACTTGAAGGAATGCAGTTGTTATTGTAAGCCACCAATTTGTTACAGCAGCTATAAGAAACCAGACAAGCTACAAAACAGCCTAAATTGGGGCCTAATTGAGCCTCCCCCAATCCTGTGCTCTCCTGCCATGTGCCATGCAGAGCTTTGGCCAAGCCACTCATCAAGCAGTACTCCTGCAAGTCTGAGGATCACTTAGGCTCAAAATGGGTATTTGATTGACTGATTTTTATGGTACTAATGATTGAATCCAGACAGCACTGAGCTGCATACTCAGTTCTTTTTGGATTACTTTATTTTGAGGCAAGTCTCTCTAAATTTCCCAGGCTGGCCCTGAATTTGTGATGCTCTTGTCCCAGCCTCCTGAGTAGCTGGGTTGCAGGCCTATGCCACCATCACCGGCTTTATTTGATGGACTTACTTCCTCACCTCAGCACAGAAGGACAGGAATGAACCAGCTCTGTTTTTGCTCACCAGGGAGCTCTTGGTGCTGTGGGCTTCAGACAAATTAATGCTCACATATGTAATATGAGGGCAAGAAAAGCCCATGTGCTCGGAGAATCATGTAAATGGCCTAAGCCTTAAATTAGACACCTTTACAGTGTTTAATTTGGAGTCCCAAATTTTCACTAGAATTGTATTACTCCCCGATCATGGAACCCTCAGTTGCCAAAGACATTGCCTGCTGAGCCAGTTGTATTTATTTAGTAAAAATTCACTAACCTCTCCACTTGCTGCTATTTGAAGGAACATAATAATTAGAGGTAATATTTATTGAGCTGCTCACTGTCTTAAGAGCATTGTATGCAACCATGCAATCTTCATGCCACCTCTATATGGTTATCATCTTTATCATGTTGATTTTATAAAGGAGAGAATGAAGACACAGAGATAAACATAAATTCACCCAAAGCTGCACCACTAAGATTTAGCAGCACCAGAATTTGGACTCAGGTAGCTGGGCTCCAAGCGAGCACTCCTATAAAGACCAGATTAGAATCCATACCACCTCAGTGGGCTCCATACATCTTCGCAATGCTACTCTGGATAAGTGATTTTTGCCCTTCTGTGCCTCAGTTTCTTCATATACAAAATGGGAATAACATCTTGGAGGTTTGTTGCCCAAGGAATGATGTGAAATTCAACCTGTACTACCCGTAGGAGCTCTGGGAAGGCTTGGCCCAGGAATGTGATTGAGACGACAGGGTCCTCAGACTGCATAGAACTGCGCCTAGCCCAGAGGTAGATGCCTTAAACTGAAGCCTGCAGGAAAGCAACCTCATCCTTCTCATGTAGGCATCCAGGACCACAAGTTTTAGAGCTAACTGGGGCTGTTGGTTGAAAATACAGATTCCTGGGCCTCGCCCAGAGGCCCTTGCTTGAAGGCAGATCCAGCAGCCTGCACTATTCAACACACTTCCCAGGAGATGGTGAGGCATCACAATTTGTGCTCCGCTGAGTTCAGCCCAAGCAGCATTGCCCCATAACTGGGAAACACAGAAAACTATCCCAAGACCCCATCCATTCATTCCAGCCCAAACCGAAAGCTTGCGTTTCAGACAGGGACATCACCCCAAGAGAGCAGTGGGCTTTTCTCAGCAGTTTGGATAACTGTGAAGCTCTAAATTTCATGAAAAAAGGGCGGACAGTTAGGCCGGAGCCCAGACACAGGAAAGGGAGCCTGCAGCCCTCCGCCCATGCTCCAACTGGGAGCCCTACAGCCAGGGCCTTGGCAGGAAAGATGCAAGATTACCTCAAGGTCACTCAGTCTCACTCAGTCAGGTCTACATCGAACCCAAAATCCACCGGGTTTTGCAAACCCAAACTCTGTGGGCGGAGCGCCCAGGGGTCGCCTAGGCAACGGTAGGCGCGCGCCACGCCCAAGCAGGGAGCTCCGGAGGGGAGAGGGAAGCGCGTGCTGCCAGACTCTCGCGGGGCCAAGGCCACCACCCTAGCCCCGCCTCTTACCCGCCCCGCGGAAGTCCTTGCCGACATTTACGAGTGATGATTGGTCCTCTAGCTACAGGGGCGGAGTCTGAGGCAGGCGGGGTGAGTACTTCCGGCTGCCGGGTTGACATGAAGTAGCAGCGGCTGCTTAGGGCGGCGGTAGCGGCGAGAGTCGCGGCTTGGAACGGGCCTGGGGGTTCAAAGCGAGACGCAGCCTAGATCGACAGGCGGTATTGCTGGCCAAGAAGGGGGCGCGGCACCACCCTGGCCTGTCATGGAAATGGAAAAGGAGTTCGAGCAGATCGACAAGGCCGGGAGCTGGGCGGCCATTTACCAGGTGCGGGAGCGCCCCGGAGCGCGGCCGGCCCTTCGCTTAGGCCTCGGGAACCTCCTCAGATCCCTAGTCCCCGATCTCTGCGGGGTCCCGCCCTCCACCTCGGCCCTGCGGCCTGGGGTTCTGTCCGACGGCGGCACAGGCCGACCCTCATCTCTCTTTGTCTTCTCCGGTGGGCCTGCGTCTCGCCCGGGCTTCACAGCCCTCTTCGATCCCCCACCTACCGCACACCCGCCGGCCCGGGTGACCTCTCGGTTCCGTAGGACCCCAGTCTATACTCGGCGTGAGTCTCTCGCACCCCGACCCCGCCCCCCTCCTGTCCACCCTTTGTCCTCTTGGGGTTGATTTAACAGCCCCACCACTTCCTTTTCTGGAGCGGACCATCTCTACCTCCCTTCCTTTGTCTCCCCGGGGGAAAGGCCTGCTCCCCCTCCTTCCTTCACATTTCCTTTCCCCTAGTCTCGGTGTGCGGCGAGTCCCCGGGATGACAGTCCTCTTCCTCCTTCCTGTTCATTCATTTATTGGCCGTCAGCTGGCTTGCCTATTCCGTGCTAGGCACCGGGGATAGTGTTTGTTGAGTAGGACAGGCGAGATCCGACCCCGGTGGAGGTTGGGGTCGAATGAGGCTATGGAACCCACAAACAAGACATTGCAGGTGGTGACAAGTGTTGTGAAAAGAGGACACCGGCCCGCGGTGGAGTGTGTTTGCACAGGGAGCCTGCTGCCTAAGAGAAAGGGCCGAGGAAAGGTCTGCCGGAGAGAGACATTTGCACTGTGAGCGGAGGGCTCACAGGAGCGGCTGATCGTAGCATTATCAGGCCCGAGAGACTTCCAGTGAGGCTTGCAGGACCCGGGGCCAAAATATTACTCTTTGAGGGTAGTAGACGGAGTAGGCTAAGGTGTTAACTCTCTCTAAAATGGCATCTTTCCTCAATGAACATCGTAGCCTTTGGTCGTGGTTCAGATGATCCTATCTTTGTTGACCTCCTCCTCTTGTGAGTTTTCGTGGTTCATAAAAGTTGGGAAGGTAGGGTTTCTCACCGATTTGTAAAACAGACTGAAAGCGTGAAGAGGTCCTCTTTCACAGGCAGACAAATCCTCTAAAGAAAATATGTTCTCCTGATTAAATGTCATTGCGGGGGTGAGGATTAACCAAAACCACAGTCACTCAGTATTTTAAATAAATGAGGTACAAAATAGATTTTTGTTACTTGTGTAAAGGGAGAAGGCATGTTTTCAGCTTGTAGGCTCCAAAGACAGATTGTGAGAACCATCAACTGTAGTATTAAAATCTATTTTGAGCTTCACTTAAAAGAGAAAAAAGCTTTAGGCAGTTCTTTGGTATGCTTGAGTAATAAAGGCCTTTTTTTTTGGTAGCCTTGATTTCAAGTGTATTTGACAAGGTTCTTTATACTTAAGCTATAATGAATATTAACTTCTGGTAGACTTAATATTTATAACTAAGCTGTGTAAGTATGATCGATCAATATATAAAATTTCTATACCGTGTCTAATTTCTGTGAATTAGTTGAACAGCTCTGACAGTGGCTGAGAATATGTAGACAAATTTTCTGTGTCAGATCTAATGCAATACAGCCCAAAGTGGCTTTCCATGACAATGGCTGGTCTAAAGTGTTGGAGTTAATTGTGAAATATTCCATAATTCGAGGATGCATTCTGGAGAATCTTTTGTACTGAAACTGACTGCATTGGTAACAAATTCAATGTTTTTAAAAATTTGACTTCTTACACTTAAGTCAGCTCAACCTGACCTGACACCCAAAGCATCATTAAAACTGTGTTAAGAATGCTACTAGCATGAAACTATTGATCTTCAATTAATTCCCTTCATTGTTTTTAAACTTCACCACATTTAATTCCCAGAAGTAAAGACTCCCCCAACCTCCTCCCCCAAGCAATGGATTGCCAGATTCCTTGAGGTGGTTTCTTTTGATCTTAAATATTGTCACTGTGGGCTTTTCTCACCTCTCTAGTGCAAATATTTTTGTTTTCTAAAATCAAAATCAGAAAGTGTTTTTAAATTGAAAAGCGTCTGTTTATCTTAACAACTGTGGCATGTTTAAAAACAGAACTCAAATGACCTTGAGAGAATGCAAGAAGTTAATTTTCCAAGACATGTCGGTTTACCAAAGAAATGTGTCTGTTGTTAGTTAGAAAATGGAAGTTGAAAAAATTAATATTTTATAACATACAATGAAGGCTGTCTTTTGCAAAGTCATGTTCTGAGATGAGTCCATGGTAATTAGAAAAATAATGTGTGACTTTTGCTTTTGTCATTTCTCAGTTTAACTCTCCTAATTAGAACAAAAAGATCCACAAACTTGGAAACAAATGGGAAAACAACAAAGGGTAAAGCGGTGTTGAGTGCTGTTGGATGTGGCAGCCTGGAAAACAAATGTTTCAGGCAGAAGTCCTTGACCAGCTCCTTGTGATAAAGTGAGCACAATCATGTTTTAAATCTGTGATGCTAATAAATTGTATGATGCTAACAAGCGTTCAGGTCTATAAAAAGCCTGCTCTGATAGCATCTGTAGAGGACTTTAAAAACTGTTCGTTCTCTAGCATTTAAATGACTTACAGTCATCTGATTTGAAAGTGGAAGTGGTACCATATTCAGGGAGCCTCGTGCTTGAATTAGTCTTTCTGCCCAAAAGAGAGAGCTCAGATAGGAAAAAGGCATTGGTTTTCTCTAATGACAGAAGAGAGGGTTTAAACGAATGAAAAGAATAGATAATTCGCTGCCCTCCATTTGTGGTTTAAGAGGGCCTGGGTCAGGTGTTTCGCTGTATTTCTCATCTCTAGTCTTTGATTCTCTGTCACAGTTCAGTACTTTTTGGTGTGAATGATTTGATTGTTTCAGATAAAGGAGATCGCCACAGTAGCTTGTGACTTTAAGGCCAGATTTATTCCATGTTACAGGCAGGCTTTGTAAAATGAACCACTCTTCCAATTGACATTTGTTTTTATAGCTGCCTTCATTATGAAATACGATCTAATGCCTGATGAGGTTAAAACCATGTTGTAACCCTAATGCATTGAAGTTCCTTCCTGGCATATACAGCTTATGTTGTTTTATTCCAAGAAGACCAGTATTAGGACTTCCCACTGATGTTTATTTAACACCATTCTCTTCAGAGATAGAGAAAAAACACTGTATTTGTGCAGAGGAGAAAGATCTACGCACTATGACTCACTTCACTTTAAAAAAAAAGATAAACGGAAATGATGCGGGAGGTCGGGAAGTTCTAGTCATCTTGGGTGACCCATTAGCTCTGAATATTCTTGTTCAGCCCTGGTTTGAGTGAACTAAATTTAGGTGTCTGATCATCACTTTGGAAAGGTGTAAAGGCCTTTGTAATTGTTGGTACCAAATTGCTAAATTAACTAGGAGCATAACTAGCAACTGTGTCAGGAAAGACACTGCTATCAGGATTTGACATCTCTAGCATGTTTATAGTTTATTGATACTTTTGGAAGTAAGAAGTCATATCATGTGGTTCTGAAAAGTTAGCTGGCAGTTAATGGTAAATGGATAACAGAAGTGTGTTTTAGCTGCCAGTGACTAAGGCACTGTATTTTACATTTTAGTGTGAATAGCACCTCAAAACCTGTGGGGCAAAAATCTGGTATTAAATAATGTAATTAACTGAGTGTATACCGAGTTTTGTGATAGAAATGAATACGAGCTTTTCCTGTGGAGATTTTTCTGACTTGAACTATAAATGATCTCCTGGGCTGGGGATTTAGCTCAGCGGCATAAGTGCCTGCCTTACAAGCAGGCAGTCATGAGCTCGATCCCCGGTACCGATAAAAAGGAAAAACACACACACACACACACAAAAAAAAAATCTCCTTTTCTTTGTCACTCATTTTTCCTTTCCTTTTTTGAGGGGAGGGATCTTTGGATCTTTTCTGGTCTTTGCGATTGCAGGATCTCTTTGGCAACGTGTGTTCTACACTCTGCTTTTAACTGCAGTTACTTTTTCGGAGGCCTCCCCAAGCCCAGGTTTTGCGTAATTTGGCATTCTTCCCTCCAGTGCTTATGTTAATCCGTTCCCAGTACTAACCAGTACTGGCAAATCGGCCGGGCATGTTCTTTGTGCTGCCTGTGTTTGGGAAACTTGGACTCCTGCGTAAATCTTTGTTTTCTGTATGGTGTAGTTTGGCGCTGGCCATTCCATGGACAAATTTTGAGTACCCAGAGGTGCTGGGGACTTAGGAGTAGTTCTTGATTCCCTCTAACACCTTGCATCAGTTCATTACTGTGGCATCCACCTGGGGGAATAGGCTCTCCGGTTTTACCTGTAAGACTGCAAAAAGACAGCAGAAGTGGTGAGTCTGGTTACCTGTTAACCTGGTCCGTCCGCAGTCTCGCTGCCCGCTCCCCTCCTCTGTGTATGCTCATCACATTGTCTCTTGAATACTTGTTTTAAAGACAGATGTGAAGTGTCACTCCTGTGCGGCTCCTTCTAAGTCTTCCATCATTCTGTTCAGGCCAGGGTCCTCCGCATGGCCGCAGGTCGCACACACCCCCTTCCATGGAGCTCTTATTGCAGCCACGCCCTGAGGCCCTGCTCCTCCCTCTCTACCTCTGCTCAGTGCTTGTCCAGTGGCCTCTCCACTGTCTCCCGCTTGCACCTTCCAGCTCACCTGAGTGTCCACTAGAGTTTAGCTCTGGGCCGTGTGTTTGCACACAGCCTGATGCCCATGCTTTTGGGGCCCTGGCCTCCTTGTAACTGCTGCTGTATGTCCTGGGTCTGTCTCTGGAGTCCAGCCTTCCTGAGGTGACCTTTTCAGGAGTTCACCTGGCACAGCGAATGAACGTGGTCAGGATTGAATCGGTTATTAGCACTTTGCTGGTCTGGTTGTTTAAAGCTGTGTCAGACGTGGTTCCCAGGTCCCATTGGAGGGGCTAATGACCGGAAACAAATGGGTTAGTCCACATTAGTACCAGCAGTAGGGGCTACTCAGGAGAGCTGGCC